CGGACTCCTCGCCGCCGGGCTTACCTCACTATCGGGAAGGCCCTCCAGCCGCCGGAGCCAACCCACGTCACAGCCCAGCCCCATCTAGTCGCCAGGGCCGACCACGCCCTCATCCCCGACCTCAGCCACGGCTGGCATGCCCAAATTGCCGACCTCGGGCCGAAAAATACCAGACTTCGCCACAGCACGATTTAACCTCGTCTTCTCCAAAACAACCTCGGCCTCTCTACCTCAGATATCGGGGGCCGACCACATGACCCCCAAAAAGCAATTCCGGACGTCAAATCAAACACCAAGATTGGGTCTGACATCGCCCAACCGCAACGAAAGCCACCGGAGCCGACCTCACAGTCGGCAGACTGACCCCACAAAACAACGGTTGGGACCGAGCATTTCAATCACCAAGCTTCGGCCCTCACGTCACCCAGCCAGACCCAATTTCGTCTTCTACGAAACCACTTCGGCATCTCTGGTCTCAGTCACCGGGCCCGGCCACACCAGACCCGCTTCGTCATCCCCAAACCTTATCAGGGATCCGACCTCACCACTGACGACCAGGTATGACCTTGCAAACCGACCTCACGGATGCCGAACTGCCGCCGCCTTCGCCACGCCGCCCTCAGATCCAGATACAGAGCTCACCCGAACGCCGAGGTTCCATCTAACCGTGACCACCGCCGTGGACGGGACGCGGGTTCCGCCCTCAAAACCGAAACGCCGAGCGCACCCGGTCGACTTCACCTCACAACAATCGAGTCACAAGTAGCTGCCGGCGTCCGACCTCACCACCTTGGAGGCCGACCTCAAAGCCGACGACCTTGCCCTACCTCGCAGCTGGACCCGACCTTACCTTTTCGGAACACCACCTCCACGCCGCGCAATTCGACTCTCAGGCCCAACTGAACACGCACCATGAATCTCAGCTCTGTCAGAAAAGTCAATCTACAGCGGCCGCAGGTAACACTACTTTCAAATTCCCTTTAAATACATACATATACATATGTGTATGCATACACATACAAATAATAATAATAGTGGAAATATATATATATATACACACCTATATGACAATAATAAAAAATGGATATGCGTAAGCATATGTACATATATGTGAAAAAAAATACAGATCTTATTTTGTGAAAGTCGAACCGAGACGGGAAGGATTAGGGAAGTTGGTCTGCTGCAGGCCTTCGGGATAGGCACGACTGTTCCTCTAGCACTTCTCAGCCTCGGAAGGTCACGAGGCCTTTGAGCAGGCCGACGTCCATATAGCCTGTCGTTGAGCTCTCACTCCGGCCAGGACGACGTCCATATTGCCCGCAGTTGAGCTCTCGCTCCGGCCAGGCCGACGTCCATATCGCCTGTAGTTGAGCTCTCGCTTCGGCCAGGCCGACGTCCATATCGCCCGCCGTTGAGCTCTCGCTCCGGCCGGGCCGTCGTCCATGTCGCTCGCCGTGGAGCTCTCGCTCCGGCCAGGCCGATGTCCATGTCGCCCGCCGTCGAGCTCTCGCTCCGGCCAGACCGACGTCCATGTCGCCCGCGGTTGAGCTCTCGCTCCGGACAGGCCGACGTCCATGTCGCCCGCCGTTGAGCTATCGCTCCAGCCAGGCCGACGTCCATGTCGCCCGCCGTTGAGCTCTCGCTCCGGCCAAAGCGGCATAAGTAACGTAATAAGCAAGTGCGGACAGGGCTCAGTACGATGACCCGACCGACACAAGTCGGGCTCAACTAGGTAGCCCGGTCAGGCCAATTATACCACCGAGTTCGAACATGAGACCGGTCATGTAAGCAGCCACGTAATTATGTGCAGGCCAGGCTCAGTACGATGACCCGGCCGGCACAAGCCGGGCTCAGTACGATGAGTCCGGTCAGGCCAGAACCGCCGAGTCTGAACGCGAGACCGGTCAGGCAAGCGCCAAAGTGAAAATAAAAGGCCAGGCTCAGTACGATAAGTCCGGTTAGGACAGAACCGCCGAGTTCGAACGCGAGACCGGTCAGGTAAGCGCCATCATAAGTAAAAATAAAAGGCCGGGCTCAGTACGATGAGCCCGGTCAGGCCGAAAATACCATCGAGTCCGAACGCGAGACCAGTTAGGTAAAATGCGCCACCGTAATTAGTGCAATAAAATGTACAGAACGGGCTCAACAAGCAGCCCAGTCAGGCCAAACCGTTACCGAGTCCAACACGCGGCTCGGTCAGGTCGAAAGACTTAACATCGTAATCACTAGTGTAATCAATTGCACAAGCCGAACTCAACAAAGGGGCCCAGTCAGGCCGAGATGCCGTAAAACTAAAGGCCAACGAGCCGTAGGCTGAGATGCCGTAAGACTAAAGACCTACGAGCCATGAGGCCGAAGTGGCCTGAAACTAAAAACCAAACTCCAAAAACAGTTTAACCCAACAAAATATGCGACAAGGTGCATACATTCATGCAATCGTCATATGATCACATCATGCATACCATCTCGTAAGAAACACAGAGCTCAAAGCTCAATCGAACAAAGAGCTTAAAGCTCACCCAGACAGAGAGCTCTAAGCTCACTCATGTCAACAATTCGAAATGCATTCACACGTAAAAATGAGTACCAAATTACCCAATCAGGCCATTCAGGCCTCATCCAATAGAAATTTAGAAAAATTGCCCATTCTCTCAAATTGACTCGACTCGTCAAAGAACAAAGTGTGACTGTCATAAATTCATCAGGCCAAAGCCGAAAACGATTAAAGAAACGCTCAAGGGTCCCAAAACACCCAAAAATTATATGATAACTCGTGATAAAATCAGCATCTCTTGCCAAAAACTCCTCAAAAGGACTTTTACGAGAGGAAATAATGAGTGGAAAACGACGAAGCGACGATCCGAGTAACCAAAGTTACTCGATAATGGTTAAGTAAGCCTATGAGGCATAGAAAGTGAAAAGCCGTACGCTAGATCCACCTAAGGAAAATTGACAAGATAAAAAGTGATCTCGTGAATCACGCAAAAATTATTCAAATGCGCGTACTCATCAGCATATTTACGACTTCACCAACGATACTCGTTACGTAAATATTCTTTCGCAATTTAAAGAGCTCGAAGCTCAAAAGATCATGAGGTGAAAACATCGCCAAATTATCAAGAATAAACGCGACTTCAGAACAGTTCAATCAGAACATGTCCTAAACTCGGGGGCCTCCTGTTGATACCTAATTTGGCTCCGATTAATTAAATAACAAATAAAAAAATAAAATACGGCCCGACAACTAAGGGGCTGAAAACATGTAATAAATAAATGCACAAACAGGTTCTCAAAACTGATCGCCCGGAAGCCGCCTCCGGTAAACGCAATAATTGTCGATAAAGCAGACGCCAATTGAAGCCGTCAAAAGACATAAGTGGGCCCTCGGGTGTCACCTCACATTGAATGCTAGTGCATCATTTTACCTTTTTATTACATGTATATAAATAGGAGAGGAAGAGGAGAGAGGGCTCCTCAATTTTTTCTCTCCCCCACGAAATGTAAAGGAAAGAGAGAGATATTCTCTCCAAACAATGCAAAGGAAATACCCATTTTCATCTATCTTGTTCTTCATTTTCATACAATAGTTCAATTTATATTTAACAGTTGATCGTCCGATTTTCGGCATCAACAAATATTAATAACAGGCATTTAAATATTCAATAACAATTAA